TTTCTCTATCAGTGCAGAGTTAGTAGAGGAGACTACTACTCTACTAACTCTGATCAGTGGAAGTAAGGTATTCACTGCGCTCGCTCGTGAGAGATCTTCAACACTCGAAGATAACATCCGTATCTCCGCGCTCCCATGTAATATCCTCTATTAATTTATTTTGATGTTCAGTTATTAGTAATTTTTATAATTCTTATAAAATTGCGTAACAAATTTCGTGAGTAAAATCACATAATTTGATTCCAATACTTTGCATCRTGTAAACTACACGTGTCATAGAATACTTAATCGAGTGTTTGCGCACGAAGTTGGGCACGTTTCTAAACGCTAGAAAAGTCTAAAAAAAGTTGATTGTCATGTGTCATACTTACGACAAATGCTTTTAAAAACATTAAAATTGCTTTTAGTTTATAAAACTAATCGAAAATACGTTGTCAGGTTCAAAAAGGTGACATCATCGTTGACCGAAAGGGATCATGGGACGGCAAATAATTGGCCAATATCATGTGAAATATTATCATGTTTTATAGCTCCTAACTACTGCCCGCTTTATAGCCATGGTTTTCTCCGTAATGAAAGTTAACATTGTTCACATTTAGGCCAAATATTATTCAAATGTCCGAGTCCCCAGAATCCCCTTCGGTTTTGGCTTCGATGTTTAATTTTTTAAACCCGACGACGTTTCTTCAATGAGGTGTATACAAAGCACATTTGATGATTAGAAATCAAAACCACTAAGCACATTAACGAAAAGAAATCCCAATTTGTCATAACATAAKCCCACTTGAATTATCTAAGATTAGGAATATATATTTTTTTAAATGAAATGCTGAAATATCACCTGAGCAAAAGTAGAAAAATCTGCCGGATCTGGACAAGTACCATCTGTAAATTCCCAGCTCTTTTCCTAAAAYATAATACCTGGTACCTCGAATTACCAGTACAAAGCTTTGAATTGAGAAAAACAGGAAGTTAACAAGCGAATGAGTAAAAACAATTCAACTAGTATAAGGCAAACGAAAGTCAGGGCAAAAAACTGGCCTTTAAGTGTTTTCTTAAAGGTTTTTTACTTAATCAATATATATACAGCGATATGCTAGTTCTAGTTTTATATCTAAARATGCTATTAATAGGGATAATATATAATGCTAACCGGACGGTGGTATTTAATGTTTCYCTATTGTAGGTTAATGGCAATCTTCAAGGAACGATCATTAAGTGTTTTTACGCTATTCAGAGACACAATACAGCGGCTTATGCGGCAAATTAACCAAGGAACAAATTTTATTATCTTTTTTTCGGCCCCTTCTATACGTATGCAGTTTGTGTTTTGTTCTGCAGATTCAAGGGGGTATAAAAATATTATAATAATAATAAAAAAATCTACGAAAAGCCACCAGTGTGGGGCTAAAGAGGCTTATATTAGATAAACAATGGCCAAATGAATGGCGAGATGACTGTTACTACGCAAGGACTTGCCATAACAGCACGATGGGTTCAATTGCCTAGTGTTATTTAAAATTGTTGGTCTTTCACTACCATCATGTGATAGTAGTAGACACTCACCTTAGTAGACTAGCTGTTTTGCCTCCAATAAGGCCTAAAACAGAGTTGACTCAGTCGCGTTGTTATTTCCTGGCGTTGCATGTAACAATCACTTATTCAGTTGTGTAAAAAGATAAATTAAACACCGTAAAAAAGTTGGTGACGTAACTTACTGACGTTTCGATTAATTCTGATTTGCACTGGATTCATTCTGATTTGTTTTGGAGCTGTTAGATCTTTTACTGATCCTGTTTAGATTTTTAACTGATCCTACACTTGCGCCTTCTTAAATGTTATGCATTTATTTTATAAACAATACAACGCTTTTTAGCTTTATATTTGCAGATAGTTGCTAACACGCCGACCTTTTGTTTCATTCATTTYATGTCATGTTGCAAAATATTTTCAAACCTYGTCCACAAGATTGCGTTTTCGTTGCATTCTTGCATTATACTTCCTCAATTTAAAAACAATAAAAACGGTACGAAAACGTGGAGTAAGTAAGTCAAAAAATATATGCTTTACTATCAATGCATTTTTAAATTTTAAAAAATTATAGTTTTTTTTTTAGAATGATAGCATCAGAGCTCATCAGGATGACTCCTAAATGTATAATTTTTTTCTAGTGATTTTTCGTCGGTAAAATTCTATGATAAAGCATGGTAATCAATATTATCAACACATTGTTGTAAGCAAGCCTATATKTTATCCTTAACGTTTAGATCAGTAAAAAGATACGCTATCATTGGAGATATTTTATCTTTTGATACGAAGACGTGGTTATCTAACCGGATCTCTACTTTCCAAGAAAATTTAAAGACAACAATATAATAAAAAACAGTTGAATTCCTTCTTTATGCGTAGGAAATCTCCCGTCTTAATGGAAATCCGTGCGACAATTCAGCGCTTTGACGCCCGGATGTATGCATGTTCTTACGTAATATCATCTTCGTATATTTTAAATAAAGCGGACTCCAAATTCTTTAAAATCAGTTCGTAAACTGCGTAAAGCGTTTATTTTATTCTAAATTCATGTAAAAGCCTTCTGCTATCAGAATTTAGACTTCTTGATGATTGCGTTAGGGCGTGGTCACAGCGCTTTACTGATGCCGATCAATAACAATGAACAATGACAGTTATCGCGGTAACAGTAACACATGTAATGTCAAATATTGTGTCAAAGATATTGATCTCTTAAAAAGATCTATTTAAGCATAAAAAGATTCCAATGCTTTTATAAAATGACAGCAACTTTTCGCTTGAAAGTCGTGTTTCATCTTTGTTMTTATCGAAACTCGAGATTTGCACATTTCAACCAATCAATGCGCGCGTTATATAACTCTTTATCTTATAACGTATTATAGCAATACATAGGCACTTTTCGTGAGTGCACTCTAGTAAGCACTAGTATCATTAAAACTAACAAAAGGTATTATATTAGGGGAGMCAATGAATAAACAAAAGATACCAACAGTCATAATATTTGTGATGTCTCAGCATATAAAGATAAACAGCATTAACAAGGGCGATCCAGAATTTTTTAGGAGGCGCGCTCTGATTGGCTGACGACCGTGTTTATATCAGAGGACAGAGACACGGCATAACGGCAAAATTTTCTATTCGCTCGAAAAATTTTATAAAAGAAATATAAAACGGACGCTTGTGTCTCTGCCCTCTGATATAAACAYGGTGGGAGTTGAAAAACACTCGAGAAGCAAGAGAAACACTCGCTACGCTCGTGTTCCTAAGCTTGCTTCTCTCGTGTTTTTAGAACTCCCACCGTGTTTATATCAGAGGACAGAGACACGAGCGCCGTTTTATATTTCTTAAATAGATTCTGTCTCTGTATGCCTATTGTTAACGTTATTTAATAAATTTTATGGAAAAAATACAAGTACAAAACGGATCSGCCCTTACTTTGTAACTGACTTACTCTGCGAACAAAGCTACTTTTCTCACCCGACGAGAAGCGAGAGAAAAATTTGACTGAATGAAAGCCATTGCAAAAGAAGATGGCGTCAAGAGCGGAGACTAATAGAAGAAAGCCTCAATCAACTATTATTGATGTCATTGCAATAAAATAATTAGTTTAATTTCTAGCCTTCACCATGTCTAATCTGTCAAAAAGCTTGGAGAACGAGCAATGGGGAATATATGAAACACTATATGTGAAAAGAAGTGAATAAATGGGAATAGTAAAAGCTTGAATGTCAGAAATTTGACACGATGATATGTACAATCTATACGTACTGACTGGCGTCGCGCTGGGAGATCGGAAAAAATTACAACGCAGCTGACTATTCACAGTTTTTACCCAAGTAGGGATGTCTATCATGTGGTAAAAATACTACATTGTCAAATGGTTTTATTGACATTTCCTTTGCAATGCGGCTTGCTGAAGCGAAGATTAAGATGTTCCTTGGAAAAGTTGTTTTTTTTTTTTCTCATCAAAATATCACCTGAGATAATACTTGTTGGCCCGACCCCTAAACAGTTTATTCATAAGTCATTCATGAAAATATTAGCCTCCTGTGGATCAAACATTCACCTTAAAAGCATATTAACAAAACAAGGCGTCAGTATATGTCTCGTTGTCCAGAGGGAAAAAATCCGTTCTTCCTTTCGCCGCGAGTAATTTAATWRMACACAAAATTAAAAAAATAAAAATAAAAGTAAAAAAATCAATACATACCGCTATATAAACCGGATATTTACATTTTTGGCGAACTAATTCATAATTGATCATGCCCTTGTCGACTAATATCTTAAAAAAACTAGTCTTTACTTTAAAAGAGTCCGCTATTTGATAGGCTAACATTTCATATTGAGGTAGAAGTTCTACCTGATAGTGCCAATGATGGTGCGAAAAAGCAATTCTAATACTCAGCTTACTAAATAAATTCCTACGTTGATGGATACCAATGCCTGGAGGCATGCCGGAACCTTGCCTTCTTTTACTATATGTTTAACGTGTGTTTGCGAATCAATTTTTGCTGTTATTACGACTTAAACCCACGCACCATGCATCTAAYTCATCTTGTTGATTCTTGGAGTTAACCCATACGACCTAACCTTATTTTAGTTACATACATTCACATGCTATTTTCATCAATTGAGGGATAAAGGCCAATGCTCTGGAATTTGATGGAATTTCACTTTGCGTTGTGATTGTAATATGGAGCCAAAGGCACGATGAACATTGACCATTAAAAAAATCAMTGCATTAGAAAAGCAGTTGTTTTTTTCCGAAAATATCAATATGCATTTAGAATCTGTTAATATAATTAAAATGCTATTATATAAAGGAAGAAAGAGTTGAATTGCAAAGTTTAATGTGCCGAAACCTTTCCCTGTTTATTTTATTTCGGTACAATCCGGCCTTTTGTTGTATTAGATTTATCAATAAATGATACGTACATATTTCAAGCAAACTTAACTTCTGACTAGCTTCCTACCTTAAAATAACGATATGATCAATATCTGACTTGCGATGAAGAGTCCACAATTTTGAAAATATCGATMTCTGAAAATATAATAAAACTACTGAAAAAAAAAACTGATAACGTAAAACGTTGCGTACAAAGGTAAAACAAAACTTACCTTGATTTAACAAGAAGCCTTGCAAGAGCTTGTAAGTGTCAGACTGTCTAAAGTGAATCCCTTCAATTTTGTTTGTATTAAACTATGGTATGGAGCGGATATATAGGGGATGGTTGCTTCCGCACATTTGATAGAGCCCTAAAGTCAGTATCGGTTTATCGTACAAAAACTTAATATCATCACTACTATTGCAACAATAGAAATYCGACAGGYATTCAATGATRTTAATGACGTTGAAGTCACACACAAAAGCGCGCGAAAATCAATGTCACGCAGAGTAATTTGTTTTTGAGTGGAGATTTTCTCTYARTTCTCGGTAAATAAAACTAAAAACCTCGTCAAGCTGAGCTATCCGACGTTTAAATTTTRAAATTATCAAACGGATAGARGCAYTGTAGCAACATT